TTGGACTTAATCTTCATTCTGTAAATATATAGAAAATGAAAGTAGCTTTTAGTCATAAATTTAAATAAAAATTACAGGTTACTATTTGTTGCACATATATATATATATATATAGGTATATATATATATATATATTATATATATATATATATATATATATATATATATATATGATATATATAGTACATGAAAATTTCTTCAAAATTGGCAGCCTTTATTTCGGAAGATTGCTGCAGCTTTACCAGGAATGGATAATCTTTCATCCACAAAACAGGAGGATATGGTCGATGTCAATTTGAAATCTTCCAATAATCCGTCCCATTCCGATCAGCAAGGTGGAGGCTGTGCGTGTTAGATCCCCACTGCAAATTACGTTTATAGCCCCCCTGTATTTGCTCAAACACATGAAATATTTTCTCATGCCAAAAAATGCTTTTTAATTCTAATGCTTTAGCAGTCAAGGCTCATCTCATTCTTACCATGAAAGGGATATTTATGTCTTTTGCACATACGAACGACCCCTTGTCCCATCTTTTTGGTCGGGACAAAAAATTGCAAATTTTGTCTCATTCACATTAGTTCGACTTCGAGTGAGTCAGTTACGATGGGTAATTGCTTTCAGGGCTAAATTCAATAAATAACAATCTAATTCTATTTATTTTTAGTTACATTTTTTTTTATTATGTAATGTCATCGTATTTTGAAAAATATACGAGATTGTAATATATTACTTTCACTTTTTTTTTACTGACACTATACTCTTAAAAAGCTTCTCGGCTATAGCAGTAAAACTTATTGTATATTGAAACGACAATGGTAGATTTTATAAACCATAATATTGGAATATGAAAAATCGTATAAGCAACCAATTAAATAAAACACGTTTTTTCTTGTTTTTAACACTTCAATAAATCAACCAATTAAATTACAACTACTGTAGTCAACACTCCCTTATAAATAAGTGTATAGGGTTTCCTAAAATTTTCACATTTGGTCGATTACGAATGAATGGACCTAAAGTTTTGAACAATAGAAAATCTACTAGTAATATCTCAATGGACATAAAGTTTCCAACAATAGAAAATCTACTAGAAATATATGTTCAATTGATATCAGTTTCGGTCCTAATACATTTTTATAACAACATTAAACGTTTCCGTATAAGACCCATCTGTCATCTTCCTGAAACAAACAAACAAAAAAAAAACAAAAAAAACAAAAAATATCAATATAAGCAAAACAACATTAATAAACACTCACTCGATCCCCAAAGATTTGAACAGAAGCCAGTCTGAATCCGAGCAGAGAAAAACCCTGCAGGGGCGACCTGAGAACACGTGGCGGAATGTGATTTGTTGCACATTTAACATGTGTTCTCATATCGCACCTGTTGGATGCCTCTACCATTTGTTTGTTTTCTTTGGTTGTCGC